TTGGTTATGTAACAATTTCAGAGCAGTCAATTTAGAGAAATTTGGAAAAGCCCAGATGCACTAGACTGAGTGGTGCACTGAAGTGAAAAGCATTTCCAAATCTTTGATCTTCGGAGCATTTCCTGCAGTGTGCAGAGGGCATTGCTACACCTAATTGGCAGAAAATTATCAAGATTTGATTAAATAGATATTTTTCTGCAAAGAGCCGTTGCCAAAATAACTCATGGCAATTAGAGTCCCTCATTGTAATGTTGGTCATGTTCCACTGCCCATTGCAAGAAATTTTCAAACTACAAATGTTAAGCTTTTATAATTCAGCCTTGCCATGTGGAGGGCATTCACAAATTAATAGGAAATGTACTTAATTCCTCCATGGAAACTCAGCCTCATTTTACTGCAGGAAATTGCTATTTGGATTTGGATGAGAATAGGACCTATTTAAGGGAGACTGCCTTATTGCAGGAGGCTTCTTCAGGGAACTAGGGGGAGAAAGGCTCAAAGAGGATTTACAGGAATCTCAGGGTAAAAGGGTTTTCAGAAAGGCTTGTTCTTAGGCAACTGACCCCCAAAATGCAGACTTAGCTAATGCAGGCTTGTGGCAAGCATAGCAGATGGAACTGCTTACTAGCTAACCACTTCCCTTGGTTATGATGGTTGCCCACAGATGGACACTGTAAGAATTTCAGACCACAATGTCAAAAATGGCTTTGATTCCATTTAATCTAATCATGGGAGCTCTCTAGTGCTTGAATTCAAGTCCATTCAGAAGGAATTGCAGGCAACTTATCTACTTCTCCTCATTCTTTGGTTTCATTTCCTTAGATTGAACAAATTTTGGGGCTAAACTGAAAAAGTTTCACTTTTCACTTTGGCTGCCTAGAAACTAAGAGCCATTGGGGTCTCCCAAAAAATGTATACACAACTGATAGCTTTAGATTCTATTACATTTTGAAAATGAAATGTATTTTAATGAACACTGCCTTTATAATGTGTATACAATGAAATGTATTTTAATACACACTGCCTTTATAATGTGTATACATTTTTGGGGACACCGTGTGTGTAATTGATTTTAGAGAGAGAGAAACATCAATGTAAGAGAGAAACATGGATCAATTGCCACCATACCCAGGGATCGAACCTGCAGTACTTATGTATGTGCCCTGACTGGGAATCAAACCAGCCACCTTTTGGTGTACAAAATGATGCTCCAACCAACTGAGCTACTTGGTCAGGGCTGCATTAACGTTTAGAATATTATTATCAACATTGACTGTGAAGACTTCACTTTGTCATTATTAATGTGCAGACTTCTAATGTCAGTAATTCCCACACTCATTTCCCTACATGGATTCCTGGCCTGAGTGCATTTGAGTATTCTAATTGCCCGTTAACGGTTTTCACTTGGGTGACTCCATAGGTGTCTTAAATTCAAAGTATCAATCTCCCCTTCAAACTTTCTCCTTTTCTTTCTGTAGCCCATGCCCCTAATGCTATCAAAAGGCACCAGCATCCATCCAGTGCCCTGGTATGGTTCAGACTGAAATCCCTCTCTCAGGGACCCCACAGGTCCCCTGACTTTCTGCCATGCATCTCAGCTTTCCCCTCGGCACCTATTCCACACTTTCGCCCGAGTGATAAATCTAAAAGCACCAATCCATCCACATTATTCCCTATTTTAAAGTTGGAGATCATTACAGGCCAAGAGCTATACGTGATCTTTCAGGCCCAGCCATACGCAATGTCATGAGGGAAATTGGTATCATGGGGGAAACTGCCCTTCCCACAGTCGACACACTGGGATTTTCTGGATGGAGTTGCAGGCTAGAGCTTCGACACAGGTGCCAGCACTTGGAGGCCTCCTTACTAGGGCCTATTGAGGCACTTTTCTCCTCCCTGACTCAGCAGCTTTCTGCTGCTAGCCCCTCCCCCTTTCCTTCTGCCTCAGCCTCCTGTCCATAAAAAGGCCAGAGCCTTTTGACAGGGCTCCCTGCAGTGGGCAGACTCCTCCATGTGTGCTGCATGTCACTGTCCCACCCATGCCTGCCATCTCCTTGACAGCAGATGTTTATTTGGCTGAGTATATCTAGTGATTGGCACATTAAAGGCTCTTGAAAAATATTGACTTAGTAAACCATTTGTTTGCACATACAATGTAATCATTGAAGAGACTCATACACTTGGCTAATCTGCTTGTATATATCTAGACCGTGGCAATATTAAAGTCAACTTTCTCAATGCATGTAGAAACCCTGAGTTGGTGCACCTGAGAAACAAGATGGGTTAGATGTAACTCTGAAATATTTGGGCATGATAAAATTTAAATATGGTCCAGACATTACCACTTACGGATGCCTGTTTAAAAAAAAAATTGTTGTTAATACTATCCTGAGGATATTTTCCTAGTGATTTTTAGAGGGAGTGGAAGGGAAAGGGAAAGACAGAGAAACATTGATGTGATAGAAACACATCAATTGGTTGCCTCTCGCACACTCCCCCACCAGGGCTGGGGAACCTGCAACCGAGGTATGTGCCCTTGACCAGAATCGAACTCAGGACCCTTCAGTCAGCAGGCCATGCTCTATCCACTGAGCATACCAGCTGGGCTTATTTAAATTTTTAAATAAAAATACAGAAACAGCCTAATACAGTCTAATGCCATAATATTTAAAAGTCTAAAGTGTTTTCAAAACAGTATAATACAAATCATCTACATATTACTCAGTATTAATAGGATAGTGTGAAAGGGATACTGTCTACAAAGTCAGGAATCAACTAAATGAAAACCAATGTTTATTCTATGAGTTAATTTCAAAATTATACCATGTAAGTGACTAACATTCTCTGTTGGATATAGTTCAAAATGTGCCTAATAATGGATTTCTTCCCAGACTCTTATAAATTTGTTTAAGTGTGAAAAAGCTAAATTTTATTTGGCAAGGATAATAAATGTGCATTTTGCTCTCTGCTAATAAAAGACATCCATTTAGTACTATTAGCAAATTTGTTTTGCAATTAATTTCTAAATAGATTTTCAAGATTAGATTATGCTTGAAAAGCTCTGATAGTATATATTGTGAGCCAAAAGTTGGGAGTAAAAAATAATGAAACCCTTGCTCATAAGGAGTAAGAGTATATAATGACAAACTGCAAGTCTGTCTAGTTAAATCGGCTTTGACTTTTTTGGTCAGCTAATAGGAGAAATAATTGCTGTTTGTATCCTATTTACTACTAAGCCAGTAGAAGAGGACAGATAAATGCTTGTGGAACAGAAAATTTGGGATATGCATACACAAGAATTCTTCAGATGGTCACAATATTTAAATCCCTGTTTTCATCTTCATTCCTTTGTTCATCAAGTATTTTTTGATCATGTACTATATGTATTTTGCTAGTATCTGGAAATAACTTAGTAAATTAAAACCAATGAATTATATTCTAGTGGGAAAGACAGATAAAAATCAAATAAGAAGAGTGATGAACATTTAATCGTGACCTAGGGAAAGAAGCAGGGTTTTTTAAAAGAATATTATAAAGGTACCTGAATTTATATCAGGGATGGCTTATCAGAGAAAGTGACACTTGAGCTGGGTTCTGAAGGATAAGTAGGAGTTTAAGTGAAAAAGGCTGAGGAGCAAAAGGAGAACAAGTATTCCATACAATGCATCAGCATAACCTTGTGATAAATGAGAGAAATCCAGTGGGGCTGCTATACAGAGCACTGGAGAGTAATACAAGAGGAGTCTGGAAAGGATGCATAAAGTAGACGAAAGGAAGGCCATGTGAAGGACTTTGTCTTACTCCTAAAAAAATGAAAAACTAATAGTGGATATAAAATTGAAGGGTGCCCGGCCAGTGTTGCTCAGTGGTTAAGGGTTGACCCATGAACGGAGAGGTCACCAGTTCAATTGCTGGTCAGGGCACATGCCTGGGTTGCAGGCTCTGTCCCCAGTAGGGGGCATGAAGGAGGCAGCCGATCAATGATTCTCTCTCATCGATGTTTCTATCTCTCTCCCCCCTCCCTTCCTCTCTGAAATCAGTAGAAATATTTTTTAAAGAAGATTCTGCATGTATTTAGTGAGTGTAGTAATACTGCATCAAAAATATTTATTGAAATTTTTGAATAAAGGAGCCACTCAGCATAGAAAGCAATGTCCTGCAGTTCTACTTAGTCAGAATCAGATCTAAATTCTCAGCAGCAAGCAGGAGACTCAGAAAACGCTGACTTTAATTACAAACTTTATTTGTCAATACAATTCACAGTTTATACATGGTGCAGTCCACCATATGAACTTTCAGAACAGTTACTGAGGAAATGGGTGTAGCTTTCTTTCTCAAAGAGCCTGACCTTCTAAAATTTCAGTTAGAATTTAAGTTTATAAAAGTACCTTTAACAAATTAACTGAATATTTACATTTTTAGCTTAAATTTAAATTTTGGAAAATAAGCATCTATTAAGATTTTTTTTTTTAAAGATCCTGGGCTTTATTATTAAGACTCTAATATGAATGCCAGTTATTTAGATACGCCCCCCACAATAGTAAAAGGGAAATCATTTTCTTTCTGCATTTTCAAAAATTATATATACAATGTACAGCAGATCTAAGTATGAAAATAAAAGAAAGAGTAGCAATCTATTGGGTGCCTTTACCGAATTTCTTCTGAATTTTGGAAACATCCAAAAAGTTACAGGCTATGAAATGAAACTAAAAGGACTACTGGCCTTTCCTATCTAAACAAACAAAAAGCTCTCAAGATTTAAATTGTGCTATAACAGCCTTTTGTCTAATGTCGGAGATGAACTATGCCTGCAATCTGCATTTTCCTTGTGCAAAATCACAGTGATCCCAGTTTCAACTTCAGTCACCACTCCAGAGGTACACCCAGGGGAGGCCAGGCCTGTGCCCAGCCCTGCCGGCTGCTTCGCCTCCCCTTGTCTGGCAAATGTCACCCAATGAGAGAAATCATATAAGCCTTTCATACACCAAAAAGCAAATCGATGCTGGCAGTATAATGTTTATTAGCAAGTGCTCATAACACATTGTTTTGCTCTCTTCATCAGAATGGTAATTCACAACAATTGTCTTAAATTGCCTCCGATAATATCCATTTTTAACAGTTTTCTTCTGTCAGATCATATATATAGATATATATTTTTCTTCTTCCACCTTTAACAATGTAGTTATTAATAAATGATAAATTCCAAATACTGCCAGGAAAAAGACTGGGAACAGCCAATTTTACTGGCCTGGTAATCATTACACTGTGTATATGTACCATTGGTACCTGAGACAAATAAATACTCAGAGGGGCCATCTGTGCACCTCTTTTGCTGCAGTGCCTTTTACGCTAGGGTTTCTGAGTGTTGCTTCAATATCCATCTAATTTGGCATCTAGTCCTTCTTCGGGCATCACCACTTCAGTCATTTTACACGCTATTTCCAGCAAGGTATGGCATTCAAATGGGAGTCGTGGGGTAAAGGACTGCAGGTGAGCCTAGGGGTGGGGCGGGGAAGGAGAAACCACATATTAACTAGAGAGGTTCTGTTTCTTCATAAGATAAGGCACTGACAGAAAATTTCTTAGGTAAAAGGCTGCATAAGAATTTCTTGCCATTTACAAAAAGAAATGTTGTCATCCATACATGGTCCGTATCTAGGCTCAGTTAGGTAGACCCTGAAAAGTTAAGGACTCATCCCTCGAAGCTACATTATGACCAGAAACAATTATAATTCATTCTGAAGCCTCATGGCACATTAGGAAAAAGGGAGAAAAACAGTCTGGGCACAGAAAGGCATCAGACATTGCTTGTTTTATTCCACTGGTCAAAGAAAATAGACCGTACAAGCATCATCAAAGAGATAGTGCTGGCTCGGAATTCCAAATTCTCTTGATGGTAGATGACCGTGATGGGTGTATCTATTTTCCCCCTTTTGGAGTTCATGCACAATTTTTAAAAATGCTACCAGCAACAGTCTTAAAGAGCATATAGAAGTCCTCACCTATGGCTATGCCTAAGGCTCTTCAAAGAGAGGGCTATTTAATGTTTTCAATAACAGCAATTTCCTCCCCTGCACAGTGTGGCGTCAATCCATTCAAATAGATACTTTCAGTTTTCAATAAGGGAGGCAAGACATCCCTCTCGGTGGCTAGGTGGTTCACGGACAGGGTCCTCCTACAAGGGGTCAGCTCCTGGTTGTGGTTCCCAGCCAGTTCTGCAGAGAGCTTCCGCTTAATGGAGGTGGCGCGCTGGAACTTGTCATAGATCTCCACACTCAGCCGCCTCCTGGTTTCCTTGAACTCAGCCGTGACATTGGCCGTCCACTCGGCAGCATGGGCTCGGAACTCTCCCACCTGGAGCATATAGGCAGAGACAAGACAAAGAGACACCAACATGAGGGTGAACAGTTTGTGTGCTTTCTCTTCTGGCCGTTGGATTTGGACGGAGGGTGGTTAAACAAAAGACTTTGTAATGCTGGAGGTCTGAGAACTGATGTTTTAAGACAAGATGTGCTGACCAAAGTTTCATTTTATATAGTATGGCTCTAAAAAGGAATCTACTAGTATGAATATAAACTCTTTCAATGAAATTATATTAGTGGTACAAAGTGTGCCTACTTTTTGTGCATGAATCCTGTCGTTGAAACTTCAGATAATGTAACAAAAGCAATCTCTAACCTTTTAAAACTTTGGGAGTTTTGTTTTTTAATCTGTAATTTCAGGAAGTATTTGGATGTAGAATAGGCAGTAGCAGCAGCAGGGCAGAATAAAAGCCTGGGGTGTGAACCCAGGTGGCCTGGCTGATTCTGAGAGCACGAAAGCTGTTTACTCGGGATACAAATTCAGGTTTTAGAGACCAGAAGTGGTGTGTGCAAAAACTTCGTATCCACCTCATACTGCTCATCTATGACATGTCTATTTCCTAAATAAGCAATAAAATATCTTGTTTTTGTCTCCAGGGGAAGCGAGACTTGGCAAGTCCATTTTGAGGGCCATTTTAGAGAAAGAGCAAGTCCAGGGAACCGTTCCTCCGTGAGTGCTTGTGGAGTTGGTGAGGGTGCTCAGCCTGTCTGAGCTCTCGTTCCCTCAGCTGTAGAGCAGCATCGTCACGGTGCACACCTACCAGGATGCTGGGCTGATGGGCTTCACCCCTTGTAAGAGCCTGTGGAGTCATCACTGTGCACTTCTCTTTCAAGGCGTAAAGAAAAAACATTGCCCTACCGGTCGGTGTGGCTAGTTGGTTGGAGCATATTCCCGGTCAGGGCACATACCTAGGTTGCGGGTTCAATCCCCAGATGGGAGGCAACTGATTGATGTTTCTCTGACCTCTTTCTCTCTCTTCAGTAAAACATATCCTAGGGTGAGGATTAAAAAAAGAAAAAAATTGCCAAGGCCTAAGCTTGTGCACAATGTTTCCTCACAACTCCGTAAAATTGTCTGCACTCTTGTGACTGAAAAAGAACGGTGCCTACCCCCCTGGAAAATGTTATAATCCTTTTCTTAGCCAACTAGACTAACTTCTGCAGGAACCTCCTATTGTGGAACAACTCTCCCGTTCCCTCTGTTGCTGGCATTTCTGCTTTCAGCTTAAGGAGCCCCACAGAACTCATTTTCCAAGTGACATGGGCTCTTCTCTACCTGGTGAGCACATAACTATAGCTGTTTTCTTTGTGTTGTTTTAACCTCTGATGATTTTTGTTTTAAGCTTTGATATAACTGCTGGTTTCTGCTATGGTCTGAATCAGGGGTCCTCAAACTTTTTAAACAGGGGGCCAGTTCACTGTCCCTCAGACCGTTGGAGGGCCGGACTATAGTTTAAAAAAAAACACACTATGAACAAATTCCTATGCACACTGCACATATCTTATTTTGAAGTAAAAAAAAAAACAAAACGGGAACAAATACAATATTTGTATTTGCATGTGGCCCGCGGGCCGTAGTTTGAGGACCCCTGGTCTGAATGTTAGTGTATGCTCCGGATGGGAGCGTGGGACCCTACTGAATGGAATGAGTGCCCTTATAAAGGAGGCTCCAGAGAGCTCCCTAGCTCCTTCCACCTGGTGAGGACACAGCGAGGAGGCTCTGGCTATCAACTGGATCATGTTGGTGCTCTGATCCTGGACTTCCTGCCTCCAGAACTGTGAGAAATAAATGTTTGTTGTTTGTAAGCTACCCAGCCTGTGCTATTTTGCCATAGCAGCCTAGTCAAACTAAGCTGGTTTCTAAATATTTACTTACTGAAGATTTGAATTATAAGAGGGGATATTCATGTGCCCTGGCCAGAATGGCTGTTGGTTGGGTGTCATTCTGGGCACCAACAGGTTGCAGGTTCAATTCCCAGTCAGGGGGCACATGCAGGGGTTGCAGACTCGATCCTCCATAGGGGGCATACAGGAGGCAGCTGATCCATGTTTTGCTCTCACATGGATGTTTCTCTCTCTTTCTCCCTTTCCCTTCCTCTCTAAAAATCAAACATATTTTTAAAGAGGGGATATCCAGGTACATATATTTCAACATGATGTGTACATACACTTGGGTAATCATAGATGTGTGTGTACACAAAAATGAAATGGAAACTGTTCAAATATCCTTAGAAGCTGGCACACAGCAGATCAGCTCTTCCTCATCTATCCATAATCACATATACACACACATTTGATGATATACTTTATTTTAAAGAGGTCTTTTATTTTCTACTTGTATTTTCTTAACAAGAAATAATTGCTTGTTGTCTGCATCTGGTTCTAAAAAGCAAAGCTGGAGCCGGAACCGGTTTGGCTCAGTGGATAGAGCGTCGGCCTGCGGACTGAAAGGTCCCAGGTTCGATTCCGGTCGAGGGCATGTACCTGGGTTGCGGGCACATCCCCAGTAGGAGATGTGCAGGAGGCAGCTGATCGATGTCTCTCTCTCATCGATGTTTCTAACTCTCTATCTCTCTCCCTTCCTCTCTGTAAAAAATCAATAAAATATATTAAAAAAAACTGCATCTGGTTCTAAAAAGCAAAGCTGGAAAAATGAGGACTTCATGGCACACATAATTGGCAAGATCAAGGGAGCATGCAAAGAAAGAGGTGTTAAATTTATAGCAATTTAGCCTGAAGATTCTCACTGCTCCTGTAAGGGACCCTGTCCCACTATACTTTGGCATAGAAGAGATTATTGAATGTTTTTTCCTACTTTTCAGGGACTCTCTGGTTAGAAAAGCATAGGCAGTCTCAATCAATATTAAGAAACACTGAATCACTGGATACCCACTTATAAATACCCCCCAAACATTTGTATTGTTGTTTACCTCGCTGTCTGCTTAGATTACCAGTTTTTAAGTCCAGAGTCTAGAGCAGTGGTTCTCAACCTTCTGGCCCTTTAAATACAGTTCCTCATGTTGTGACCCAACCATAAAATTATTTTCATTGCTACTTCATAACTGTAATGTTGCTACTGTTATGAATCATAATGTAAATACCTGATATGCAGGATGGTCTTATGCGACCCCTGTGAAAGGGTGGTTCGACCGTCAAAGGGGTCGCGACCCACAGGTTGAGAACTGCTGGTCTAGAGCATAAGCAATGATGTGTCTGGTACTGAGAAGGCCCTCGGTAGAAAATTGTTGAATTGCACTGAATAAATAAATGATATCTATAAAATTTTAAAATAATAACTTTGTTATAAAAACTTAAGTGATTCAGTTGTTTCTCTACCATAGCAGCCTGGTCAAACTAATTATTAAAGACTTATAATTGTAAATTGTGCTCAAATACCAAAAGAAAACCTGATTGATGTGGTCTTGAACAAAAGTTATTTTTGAACATGTTATTAAATTTTCCTAGTTTACTCAATAAGCAGACAGTCCTGACAGTGTGAAATTTGAAGTTTATAATTAATAATTATTAATGAAAAATTTTAAATCCCAACTAACCTTTATTAGCACCTTACCAATGATTTTTAAAAAAGGAATTAACCTGTTTTATTTGAAAATTCAGGATTTTCTCATTGTAAAAAGAACAAATGCTACTTATGACTATTTGCATTTTCTATGAACAGCTTTTCCTAATAGTAAGGTTAATATAATAAAGGGAACAGAAAAGAATATACATTTTTGTTTACATAGGACTCTGGCCCAGCCAGCATGGCTCAGTGGTTGAGCATCAACCTATGAATCAGGAGGTCACAGTTCAATTCCTGGTCAGGGCATATGCCAGGGTGTCGGGCTCAATCCCCAGTGTGGGGTGTGCAGGAGGCAGCTAATCAATGATTCCCTCTCATCGTTGATGTTTCTGTCTGTCTTTCCCTCCTCCCTTCCTCTCTGAAATCAAATATATATAAATAAATAAAATAGAGTGTGAAAAGTATAAGAACCAGCTACTATATTCAGTTTCCACCCACAAACAAGTGGTAAACCAAAAATAATCTCTGGCCTGGAAGACAGCCACCTGAGTAAGCCCCTACATCAGGGCTCAAGTCCTGGGCACTATTAGAACTGATAGACGGAAAATTAGGTCTACTGCATTGGTTTATGTGGTTACCAGCCTTTTACCTCCATGTTCTGAAAGGCTACTGGCATTCCCTGGCTCTGCCTCCCCTTTTTTTTGTTCATGGTCTCCTATCTTTTTACCTTAAACATATCTTATTATTCATAGTAATAGACTTTGCTTATCCAGAATTCAAATGTGAATCTATTTATTTGCAGGTTTTCTATCTCCTCTAACTAGAATTTAAGTTTTATGTGTATCCTCAGCAACTGGCATACACCTTGTATGAAGCAGACTCATAAAATCTGTGACATGCATAAACACATCACTGAAAATGCATGTTCTCTGTAATCTCACACCTCAATGAAAAATTAGCAATAGTGTTGGCACACAGACTGCCAATTGGTTTTCTTCTTCATATACTAACCTTTCTTCCTCTTCAATTTTATTGTCATTAATATTTTTTCAAAAGTAGTCTTATAATAAACACATTGTTTTGCAAATGCTCTACCCCAACCAATTTTAGTCTTTTCCCCCTGTTAGTACCCATTATTCTACCTCACAGTTGATGTCAGCGGCCTAGCATTGCACAGGATGATGGCTATAGCATGCTACTATTGGTGAACTTTTTTGGTGGTTTCTGTTGTTGACATTGCGGTGTATTTATTTTTGCTATTGATAATAAAACTTCAGTGGATATTCTTGCACCCATATCTTTGCTAACGTGTCCACGTATTACTAGAAGTAGAAATGCTGGTTCAAAAGACAGGAATATTTTCAGATTTTGAGTACACTGAAATTTCTATTTAACTGTCATTGTTTTCTAACTCAGTGTTTGTAGTAGCCCCAATATTTCCTCTTTCTCTCCATGCTGACGCTTCCCAC